AGGATGGGTAGCGCCAATGCTATAGGATGTGCAGGGCCAATGCTATAGGATGGGTTGGGCCTATGCTATAGGATGACAAGGCCCAATACCATAGGATGTGTAGGAGCAATGCTATAGGATGGGTAGAGTCTATGCTATAGGATGTAACGGATATCAGCGCAGATAGTGCAACAGACAAACCAAGTTCAAATGTCAGCTTAGCTTCCTACGTTCCCTTTCGCATAAATGCACTTACGAATCTGAAGGCTTATGGAATTCGTGATCGTGATAGAACTGTGAATTCACTGACTTCTACATACTTCTTTAGAAGAAAATGTTTAAAATACTTCATAAATTGTACATGAAAGATATATTTGTTCTGAAGCTTGAGAATGCAAAAAAGTCTGCTCTATAAAGGATTTTTTATTAATTCACTTTTTATACTCAAATTCAGCCAATACAAGAAACAAGAACCAATCAAGGTAGAGTGCTACTAATAAAATTATGATGAATGCTGTGTGGTATGAATAAAAGAGGAACTGATTGGAAGTGAGAATTATAAGGATGAGGAAGAGAGAAAGGGATTGAAATTTGACTTGAAGAGTCTGGTGTTCAGAGAAGCACTAAAAAAGTAACAATTCGTGGCTGAAAGTTGTTTGAGTGGGAATTTCTTTTTACATTTGAAATACGGAGTAAATGCTGGTAATTCGACTCCGGGGAATTGGCATGACGTGTTCTAGCTCTAAATGTTTGATCTGGTAGAACTAAAAAAATAGAATTCCTGAACTAGTGCCATGAAAATATCGATAGAACATCAACAGGCTTGCAAAATGGCGTCTGTGTGAAAGAGGACGCAGAGTGGAAATGTCTTTCGCCATAATAGATGGCAAAAATGATTTTGAATACTATTAAGGCTAGGAAAATTTCAGCCTAGATATGGCAGCAGTCCTTCATTTTTGGTCTAATCTGATTCTTCTTAAAGCATAGAGCGATAGAATAAACTAACAATTTCCCCAGCACCTTTAGCGATGGATAATATTTGAGTTTCGCTGGGGGTATGGAGTGAACTTGAGACCCAAAAGATTTTAAAATATGGAACTTCATTTAGATTTCTATTTTTACGTACGATATGTTATATAAATATTTTCGAAATTTGAAAAAAAAAAATGATCGAGCTCTTTATTAGTCAAATTGCCTCGTATATGTTATGTTACATTGGGCATTTTAAATATCTCTTGAAATCAAGAACCCAGGCATTTTCACACAGATTGAGGTTGTCGATATCAGGTAACTTTGTCTAGTTTCTATATTTTCTTTCCAGTCTTCATAGAGCGGAAAAGCGTCTCCGCTTCGTTGAGGGTGAGGAATTATTTTTCACCCTACAGCCAGCCAACCAAACGAAACATCGCAAACTTCTCGGAGATTTATCGTTATATGCTTGGAAAGCGTTCAGCTGAAATATATCCCATAGTTCCACCAGTTATAAGCTTAACAGCTAAGACCCGCCACGCCACGCCACGCACATTCTAGGGAAGCACCTTTGTTCCTTTCGTATTCCACTGGTGAGATGTAAGTGCCACTCGAGCACCTTCATCCTACGAAGCGCTATTTTGTCGAACCGATTCCCAAGAGAGTGTTTCTATGATCGCTACAATTTTACCCTGTTCAAGTCTAGAGTTACCTGTTATCTCCTCCATATATAGCAAAAAACTCTGACTCTTACGCTGTAACTCTTTATCCGGAGTGTCTCTTGGACCTGGTATAGGGTAAACTTCATTTTAAGAGAAAAAGAATTTGTCATGAAATCTGGAATAGTAGAGAATTATTGAGGGAATTTCATATCTATCCCCTGTGTCAGCATACAGTGTTCGAGTTCAGTTAATAGAAGTGTTTTGAAAAGAAAGAAAGAAAAAAAAACAGTGAAAAAATAATTGACTGTCGCAGCAAAATAATATTTTGTTAAAATTTGCATAAGATGCAAAAAAAAGCTATCTTCTAATCCAAATAGTTCTTGCGTAATTAATGACTGACAGAAGAAGGAAAATTGACACATTAAGAAAATCTTCCAAATGATTATTAAAAAAAAGAACTTGATAAACGAGAAAGATGTAAGGAGTTTAATCTAAAACTAACTGCACGCTCTGAATGTACATCGCCTATGAAGCCATTTCGTTATTAATATTCGTCGATTTTTGTCTCTGGCCTTTTGCTCGTCTTTGCAATGTGGTTCCTTCATTAGCGATTAAAAGATAAGGCGTA